AACTGCCAATTAAAAACTAATTTGAGTTACGTGCTATTTTTAAAGCACACCTTTGGGACGCCAGACACCGCCCGACGTTTTTCGAGTGATTTTATGGATGTTTCTTTTTGTAATGCACTTACATTGTTGGACATCAAGATAGAAACAGTGGACCTTCATGGCGAAAGCTGTCTGTAAAAACTGCTCAACTAATCAACAAAATCTCTCGAGAACTTGAATTTATATGGAATTATATTTATTAGATGACCTTGGACGTTGTTTGTCATTAAGTTTCTTTAGTAACTCTTAATTGGTTGTTAAATTTGGTTTTAAAATTTACATAATGGTCAAGCAGAAACTAACCATTATGTACGGGTAGATTCTGTATGCCTTATGCATGGTTTTGGGTCTATAAATATATCAAGAAGATGAGTTTTGGAAACCCAAGCCGATTTAGTCCCAGTTCTTTCGGCAACTTGTTTGGGTTTTATAAAAAAAATGAATTAAGCGATTACTAATTTTAATATTGTAATCTGGTATGTCCGGAATTTTGAATAGTATTATAGTATATTTAGCAAACTTTTACTTAAACTTTATTTCTATCAACTGGAGCCTAGTTCCAGTTCTTCCTGGAACTTAACAGTGAGAGGTATTGGGGATTTGTGTTTAAAAAAAAATGGAATTATAAAGGCGATTACTTGTTTTAATTTTAAGTTATATTATTTGGACTTACATTATATTTAGCAAACTTTGACTTAAACTCATTTCTATTAACTGAAGCCTAGTTTCAGTTCTTCCTGGAACTTAGCAGTGAGAGGTATTGGGGATTTGTGTTAAAAAAAAAAAATGGAATTAGAAAGGCGATTACTGATTTCAATATTGTCCAGAATTTTGACTTTTATTATTTTTAGCAAACTTTGACTTAAACTTTATTTATATTTACTGTAGCATTGTTGTATTCGTATTTCCGGCCCTTTTCACACAACTTAATTGCACATTGGGTGAGGGCTGGTCGCTAATTTGGGATCTTTACTAAATGGTCATGGGAAATTTTCATTGATTTATATCTGTGCTAAAAATTAGCAGCTATTAATACAAATTGCAGGCAGTGGGGTAGATCAGGTTCTACATCGTTTACGTGGGCAGAGATTAAATCGATATTTGCGTTCCCGTACAGATAAGATAAGCACTAATGGGGCCTTCGCCCCATTTTAACGAACCCGTACACTCAATTTGTCGCCTAATATTTCAGAGCTGTCAACGCACAGTCCCAAGTAAATACATATCTACTACATAGAATGCTTGTGTGTGTGTGTTCTTATTTACTAACGAGTTGAAATATGTTTTGTTTAAACAGCGACTGTCGCCGTCGGCCAATTGTGCCACAGAGCTTTGTTTGCTCCCCAAGCGATTTGAATTCCCCCCCAATGGAGTCGCCACTCTCGACTCTTTGTCCATGGCAATGTCGAAGTGCCGCCCAAGGTTTTTGCGTATAAATAGCTTTCCTTTTTGCGGTGAACAGACAATCGGTCTGGGCGGTTTCCCAAGTCTCTCTATAACTCGCTTGTCGATTCATTTCCAGTTTTTGCGTTTCGAAAGCAAAAGTGCAGCTAAAAATAAGTAGTGCAGCAGTTAACGACGAAAGTTGGAGCCATGTCGCCTACGCTGCTCCTCTTCATCCAAACCCGACCACGTCGTAATGAGTTGGGTTTCATGTTATTAATAGAACATCAACCCACACATGCACATCTGTTGGCTGACCACTGGTTGGGGTCAGCCATCGCTCAAATGAATAACCATGTGGGTATGGTAGATATACCTAAATACATATATACATACATGTATCCATGTGTCGAACAATCAATCACAATTCGTTGTTCCAGCAATTGGCTGTCAGTTAACTGTGAACTTTGACTCTTAGGCAGCGGGAATTTGTGTTAGACCTTTTTTAATAGCAATATTATACCTCGAAACACATTCTTTTGTTGCTGAAATTGCTTATTATTTTTGTAATTTAAGAACTTAAACTTCACAAGTATACAGTTAAATGAAAAACTATAAAGAAAAGTAGGTTAAAATTAGGGAAAATAAAAGAGTTGATTGGTGAAGAATAGCTCTTCAGATATTTTCTAAGGGGTTGCTTTAGCTTTTTGCTTAGACAGACTTTAGAGCTCAGCAATAGATTAGCTTATTTAGTTAGATATGATTTGGTAAATAGACTGAAATTTTGATGTAGCGTGTTATAGATAATCGGTGTTTAAATAGAGTCTTTAAGAGACTATTTTCAGAGATTTTTAAGGGTTTATATTTTAGCTCTTTTATAAGCATTTTCTGTTTAAATAGTTTACTTACTATTCCATTTAAATGTTGATAACAGATATTTAATTTATACAAATAATTGATTACAGTATATAGATCCAGTAAAAAATATTCGGTTTTCACTACCATATGACCGATAAGGTCAATTATTTTATCGAAATTGTACTTATATAATGCAAGCTTAGAGTTAAAATTACTAAGTTAACAAGGTTGTATCTAGCCATGGTATTGGTAGCTTACATTTAATTGAAAGAGTGTATGATTTGAGATAAGCAAGTTGGGATCTGAGTTGCCTGAGAAATTGGATCTGTGTTTTGAAAAGAATATAGAGAACAACTCGTACACTGTATAGCTAATAGACATTACGGTTTTAAATAAAACTAAATGATTAGGAAAGGGTACTGTTCGAATTGCAAATATTCGAAATGTTCTATTTTATACTTTATGTTTTGCAATATACAATGTACTTCGATTTTTTCCACTAGTCTTTTTTGAAAACAGTATCAATTACTAGTATAGAACTGAGAATTTAAGAATTGCAAATATTCGAAATGTTATACTTTATCCTTTTTTTTTTTATTATACGAGTATGTATCTACTTAGAAGTTATGTGGATTTTAAAGCTTTCTCCCACTAGTCTTTTTTGAAAACAGTCTCAATTACTGGTATAGAATACCTGAAGACACGAAAAAAAGGAAAACTATTTAAAGGGGGCAGGAAAATCAAAAAATAAAATAAACTCGTGTAGCCTAGGGGCTAGGAGCGGCTGCATACCAAGTTTAATTAATGTGCGCTCAACCGTTTCCGAAATCCAGGCGTTCATCCAGACGGACGGACGGACATGTCTAGATCGATTTCTCTCATCGTGCTGATCCAGAATTCTGCATGTTACATACTTTGTACAAACCTAATGTACCCTTTTTATCCTAGGGGTATAAAAAAATAGTTATTCTTGAAAACACCTAAAAATATAGAGTAGCGGTTATAGAAACTGACCAAAGCTGATCGCTTTACAACACTGCAACACTTATTGCAGCAGAAATGCTGACCTGCCCCAATTAGTCCGGCTTCGATTTGTGCCACTATTTGCGAAGCTGTCTCAAATTTTTAACAGCCAATTAAGCACTTTAAGCGAACTTGCTGCGCTGTGCAGTGGAGAACGGCGCATTAACACCCTTTCGCTAAATTCCTCTAGGGGCCAGGGTGGAAGAGAGAATAAAAGTTCATTTTACAATCTTGACACACTCCGCTTAATCGTGGCGCTGCGCTTCATTTGTTAAAGTGGCATTAAATCTTGATTGTGACCTTCATTAGAGAGATGAAGTGTGTTAATATACATTACAAACAAATGGTTGCTTAGTTGCCACGCCCACCACAGCAGCAGCACTTGAAGGTTGAGCCCTAATGACGCCTTTGGCAGCGTTAAGTTGGCCAACTTCCAGCTCAACCAACCGACGACCCATACTCGCCGGCAGTCGTGGCAACTAATTATGCACAACCCAAACAATTTTCAGCTAACCATGGTCAACATCACCCCCAGGCAGGCACCCAATTGGACGCCCACATGGAAACACTTAAACCTTGGTTGCTGCACAGCATCCAAGACTCGCCTCCCCACAAACTTTTGCCATAAAATGCTTTTGGCCCTTGGCCCCTCTACCCACTGCCTACTGTTTCCTCTGTTGTGTTGTGACCCACAATGCCATAAGTCTTCCATTTGTGTTTCGTTGCTTCTCGTTTTACTGCCGTTGTTATGAGTATTTAACATATTTTCGCTTTTTTATTTGCCAGCAAATGTTGCCAAGGATGTTCCATCTGATGATGATGATGATGATGAATGTGATGATGTATTTGTTGTATGCATTTCAGGTGAACGACATTGATAAGTCTCGTCGAGTGTTTTATCTCCGTTGCTCTCGATTCTCACAGAAGGCCACAAATAAATACATAAGTGGGTTGTAGAAGGTAGAGACATGATTATGACAGCTTAGCTTTAAACTGTTGCCTTGGTTGATACAGGAACGCTCCTAATAGGCATACTTTATGATTGTAAAAAAGTGCCAATCATTATTATTTGCATGGGAAGCAGCTCTTGTACTTTTTCTTACAATTATAGATTTATTTATTATATATTTCCCTTCTCACGAGCTTAATCATTTCCATAAAAGTTTTATAGGTACTCCATTACTTTGTTAGGTACCGAAAACTAGCGTTTGTGTGTTTGAATGTATGATTGTGAAATTCAGGGCGGAAGAAATTTGGATCTGGGTTTGTTATTCATTGAGCCCTTTCTACAAGCTAACTGAAAGATACAAAGTTTTTATTAGGTTTAAAGTTGTAAGATATAAACAGATACTTTTGATTAACGTTATAATAATAATTTTGCTTTATAGTAAGAATTTACGTGCATAAAAATAAATGTCATGTCATTTAATTAAAGAAACATGTATCGTTTTTTCTTTAAATACATAATAATAAAGTTGGAACATTCGATTCAAAGCACTTCTTAAAGGACATCAAATAACTAATGAGTACTAGTTCTAGTTGTATTTTCCTTACCACAGACCAAGTTTTCTCAAGCTATTTACTATTAAATCATACTTCCAGTGAAATAAAACTTGGAAACCCAGAAAATACTTACAAATTATTATGCAACACTGTTTTTTAAACGCTTTCCCACCTTACCTTTTTGCTCTTTTCAGGCCATTTAAGGACCCACCTGCACTCCACTGAAGAGATAAGTTAAACCGCACAAAACCAAAGGCTTATTCCATAGACCGATGCAGAAGACTGAAACCACCACCATTCCCACAACTTGTAAATAGAAATCAAGCCACCGCTCAAAAGGAGAAACACAATTACAAGAACAACAAGGAATTCAACTGCAATTAATAAGTTTAGAGACACAGTCGCATCAAGGTAGTCACGACCAAAATGTCATCACGTTCCAAAGAAAGAGTTGTCACTGCGTTCCGTAAAATCTTCCAAAAGTCCACCAACAACAACAACAATAATAATAATAACAACAATAACAACAACAACGACAAAAGCAGTGATAAAGTCGACGCAGTCGCCAATGGGGCTGCCAACGACAACAACAATGTCGTTGTGGTGGGCGCAGCCGAGGCCATAAATAATGTGGCAGCCGGCGGTCCTGCATCCTCCTCCGCATCCACTTCCGGTGCTACGCACAACAACAGCAACAACAACAAAAATGCGGTGGTCCGCATGGCCCCCGAACAGCCGGTCTGCGAATCGCCGGGCAAACGTCGTCGACAGGATCACAAGTGAGTAGTTCTGTTCGAAATAACTCAAAGGCGCATTTTTCGATTAGTGCTTGAAATAAATTTTAAAGGCTATCGGGAAATGTCAATATTCTGAGAATATTTTTTTGTTTAAACTGTAATATAACCGCAGTTTTGAGTTATTTTATGGTCTCTCAGAAAATCCAAATTAGTCGTGAAATCCGGCAGCAAGCAAAATTACGTTTTACTTGAATTGGTTTTGTCACCACTTTTCAGAGTGGCGCCTGCAGCTTCAAAGAAATGCGGCTCCCTATTGGCCGCACCTGACCAAAGTATACGCTCGCGTCGCCTCATGAAGGAGTATCGCGAAATGGAACGCCTCCAGCGACAGAATGATGCCGTTTTCACAGTAAGTGTATTCTATATTTTATTTCCGACAATGACGTTGTGTTTGTGGAGAAAATTGACGATGGATCCTCTGGAGAAAAATTAGGAAATCTGCCCCACCTTCTGACAGTTTTGTGGGAATGTATGCAACAGGCAGAAAGAATCGTGGCAGACCCCACACATATATATATATATTCTTGATCAAGACGACAAGTCGAGTCGATATAGCCATGTCCATCTGTCCATCCGTCCGTCTGTCTGTATGAACGCAAGGAATTCTGAAAGTATAAGAGCTAGAATAACCAATTTTTTTAATAATTTTTTTTTCTTAAATTTCCCTTTTTTGTGGAGAGTACAGGGTATTTCACTGTCGGGCTTGCTCGACTGTAGCGTTCTATCTTGTTTGTGCTTACTTTATAGCTAGTATAGTATAATGATTAGTATACTATAATATTTTTTCGATCGATCCATTTAATCCGACTCTTGCCATGCACACCTATGGATTTTAATAAATCCAATCCATTAATGACAGTTCTACCAGTTCTTTAATATATCATTTAAATTATGTGCTAATGTAGTAAAAGCTTTAAAAACAATGTATTACATTGGTTAAGAAGTTATCCTGTCAGAAAAATGCCTGGGACGCTATACTTTTAAGACCAAACACTCTGTAAAGCTCACATAATTATATATGGTCATTCAAATCTTTGACACCTCTTCTCTGCTAATCCTAATCCACCTAATCTATTAACTTCTCTTCATCGAACAGGTGGAACTGGTCAACGATAGTCTCTTCGAGTGGCATGTACGTCTGCATGTCATCGATCCGGACTCGCATCTAGCACGCGACATGGTTGAATTGAACGTGCCAGCCATACTTTTGCATTTGAGTTTTCCCGACAATTTTCCTTTCGCACCACCGTTCATGCGTGTTGTAGAGCCGCGCATCGAGAAGGGGTATGTAATGGAGGGCGGCGCCATATGCATGGAACTGCTAACTCCACGCGGCTGGGCCAGCGCCTACACTGTGAGTAACAGCTGGGGATTTATATTTATTTATCACATTTGCATTACCTTAATTGCTTCAATTCGTTTCAGGTGGAGGCGGTGATTATGCAGTTTGCGGCCAGCGTGGTTAAGGGTCAGGGTCGCATAGCACGCAAACCAAAAAGTACAAAGGAGTTTAGTCGGTAAGTATGGCCTTGAATTGGATTCCCTAACAAATGGAACGTTACTTTGTTTTTCAATGCAGAGATATAAAGAGATGCTTATGTAATTTTATATCTCATTGGAAAATAAAAGATATTTCATACAAACAATCGGTTCAAAGTAGAGTTCACACTTTTAAAAAAGGAGTTCGACTAATTCAACTAGTTCCACAAAATTATTAATTAAGTAATTAAGCTGTAGATTCATTTTGAGCATTTCAATAAGAAATTGCCTTCACTCTATAAAATTCATCTCTATCTACAATCTATCTAATTCTCACGTATTATTTAATTACAGCCGTCAAGCTGAGGAGTCGTTCCGTTCGCTGGTGAAGACTCACGAGAAATATGGTTGGGTTACGCCCGCCTTGGCCGATGGCTAAGAAACAGCTTACTTCAGTTGCTCAGCTACTCTTATATTTGCCAACTTAGTCAACTAATATGTATTAGGAACTTAAGAACACCCCACATATGCAGCTCATTTACAACTACATACACATATATACTGGAGAAGACAACGTGCGACCATAATGATGATGATGATGACGACTCTTCATAGTTTTCCTCTTTAACAATGTTTCGTTATAAAAATGAAATTATGCTATTTGTCAATGCGGCGGCAACGATTCCTTTTAATTTCACTATTTAGTTACGTTACCGCCCGATTCGATGAAAACTGCAAACGATATCAATTGTCTGAAATGCTAAACCATCCAAAAACAACAGCAAACAAGCAAAATATTAGTCTAAATTCGAGATTTAGTCTGTAAAACATTGAAGGAAAATGAAGGAAGTGAAGAGAATACCTAATATTTAAGTCGTAAACTGATGCTCACAAAGGCATAGGACGAAAGGAGAATCAAGTATTATTTATTCAGCGAATTTGAATAATACTTATTGAATAATAATCGCGTAGTTCTTAAAGAAACACTGAATATAACTATTAAATTGTGTTGCATTAAGTTGTGTAAAAATTTTATTTAAAATTAGATTAATATAACAAGCTAAAAAATACACTTAAAATAAAGTACTGTGTTATTATGATTTGTGATTTTGTTATGTTTAACAAACAATTCGCTACAAATGCCAAACACACCAAATTAAAAAACGTTGTAGTCCGAATACTGAATTACTATTTTCTTTGATAATTGTTTAAAAACATAAGAACTTAGTTTTCGCTTTAAGTTTCCAACAAATAAATATAATATTTCTCTGTGTACGGTATCTTTTATTTTTGGGCGGGGCATTTAACTTAATATTTAAAATGCGCGCGCGCAGTGCTGGACAGCGCAAAAACCGGGCAGTGGCATTCACCTAACGCCGACTGCCTTGTCAAGCATTGGAAAAGAGCAGACATTTAAGCAGAAAATGCCAACCCCTCTACCAAGCGCAGTGCAAAAATAAATAAAAGCATTAATTTCTATTCATATTTAAGACTGTTTTAAAACAATTACGCTGCACTGCGAAGCAAATAAACATTAACTAAATAAACGCCGTTAATATTAAACTGCCTGAACGTGTGCACGACTGACGCACCACCGACGCTTCTCAACACTAAACAGCTAAGAGAGGCGAGCTAAATTTTTCAAGCACAGGACATAAATTTGTAAGTAAAATTAAACATTTATATGCATTGTATTGGCCCAAAACATAGCTACAAATGTGCCAGAAACTATGGCGTCTCTAAATTATACAACAAATGCTCGACTCGTGCGCAAATATAGGCAAAAACTACACTCAAAAAGTCACACGCAGCTGTATAAAAAATGTACAACTGCTTGGTGCTGCCGCTGCGACGCCGGCAGCGAAGTCGACACCAGTGGCGGTGCACGAGAATTTTTGTTAGAGCCTGTGGCTAGATTTGTAAATCCTGCTAGCCTGGATTTATAGTAGGCAGGTAGATAGGCCCAAATACAGATAATTTATCTTAAAATACTCGGATTAAAGCCGTTTAGCAATCATTTAGATGTGAACAGCGCTCGACCAGCTGAGCATCGTGAGTGAGCGAGCGAGCAAGAACAAAGTGTTGACAGGCGCAGCAAAATTTTGTGTTAGACGAAGTGGCTGTGGCTAGCAAAAGCAAAATATAGACAGCAAAAACGTTCGAAAAAAGAACAGTTGAGCGAACCCACAATAAAAATACCCAAGCTGTAAGCCAGAACACACATTACCACAAGTGCCCGTGCCCAGAAAACATAGTAAACTGTTTATTTTTAGACGTGAAACGTACGCACACGCCACAACATTCGACGACGACGACGAAGAAGATTTTGAGGAACACGCATTGATTGCCTGCAATGGATACGACCACCAGCAATGTCAGTGGCAACGACGATACTGGCAATGCACCAACAGCAAAACCAGGGGCCAATAGTGAAAACGTGGCCATGGACACGTTAGATCCACCGCCACCCAGCGCCGGCAGCAGCAGCACAAACTCCAAGACCCTAAAGCGTTGCCTGAGTGTGCCCATCATCCGCACGATGCCTGGCAAGCTCACACCCATGACGACACGCGCAGCCGCAGCTGCAGCAGCAGCGGCCAAGGAGCACGAGCAAACGCCAAAGAAGCAACAGCCTGTACAGCACGAGAGCTCCAGCGGGCTGAATGTGGCGGCGGCTCCTATCGACTACTTCGGCAAGAACATACACATACGCTCGCAGCCCTCGTCCAGGTGAGTGCCTAGAACGGTGGTGGGAAGAGAAGGCATCAGAGATAGAACAAAAGATAGAGCAATACCTAAAGGGGATTAGATCACAACTGTCTATCTGTTTCATATTTTTGAACGCTCCTGAAAGAAAGATTTATCTATGTATGTAGGACCTAGATCATTACAGTTGTTCCGCAACTTCTTTTCCAATCTATCTAATCGTATATGAGCGGTCTAAGTTTAGTAGGAGGCATGATCTCGTTCTTCTAACTCACCTTAAATAAAATCCCGTCTATTAAGCAATATCAGTATATGCTTATATACTTAAAGAGTTTCCCGTTTTTACTATGATATCTGGGTAGATTGGACACTACCTTATATTCTGTGGCTTTTCCTAAAAGAAAATCAAATCGTCCATTGCCTCTATTTAATATTTTGCGACAATGCCTGAAAGAGAACCTCATATATCCTATGGTATATGGGTAAAATGGGTTTAGTAACGTTGATCCATGGCTTCTATTTCACATTCTGAGACATATCTGTAGAGATCAATGAAAGACAACGACTTCTACCTGGAGATATGTTGTCGTATCCAAGCGATCGTCTTTAAATTTTTCCTTTTTAATTCCCAGGGAAGTCTCGCCGGCGCCCATGTTTAACATATTCACGCCACGCACACGTCGGTATTCGGCCAGCTATAGTCCCATGACCACAACAGCGGGTGCCAATGGAGCAACACTGTGTCTCACGCCACGCGTGTCACAGTTGCGGCAGGAGGAGTGCGCCGATCTGAATAGTCGTGAGGTGAATCACGAGCGTGAAGTGCATCGTGAAATACAAATCTCACAGAGCTGGGAGGATCTCACTTTGGTGGCCGAGAATTGGTCCTGCAAATCGGAAGATTTCTCCAACCCGCTGCAAGTAACGCTGCCCACGGGCACTACAAGCTGTTCCAGTCCCAGCCCCACCAACAATCGCGCCGGCATGCGCTTGCCCTCCTACTCGCCCTCACCCACGCGTCGCACCTTCTCGACACGTCGCTCCATGTCGCCTATAATGCGACCATCACAACTGGGTCCGGTGAAGCGAAAGTTCGAGCTGGATGATAATCCGGGGGCCAGTAACTGGAGCGTCTATTCGCCACCGCCGCTTAAGAAGATCTTTACAGAAAGGTAAATTTTTGTGCACACTTTTTAAAAACTGTCATTCAATATATTCATTTTGGCTCTTTTTACAGTCGCGGCTCATCGCCCGTGTGCCAATCGCCCTCGTCGGTGTGTCCCAGCCCCGATTCGGGCACGTATGATGGCCGCATTACGCCCAAGCTTTTCATTTCTAAACTCTGCACCTCAAACACCAATAATAGCAATGGCAGCAGCAACAACAATCATAGCAATAGCTCTGGCTGTCCCTCACCCATTTCAGCCTCGCCGAGCGGGAGTTGTGTGGGCGCCGGACTGCCTCTGGTGCTGGACGGCATGTCGAGCCTATCGGGCGCATCTTCCACCTCATCCTCTAGCGGCGGCAACAGCGAGCCGATGTGTATTGTGAGCAACAGCCAAAGCTTAGATGAGGGCATCTCGATACCAGAGAGCGAGCCAAACTCTTGCCGCAGTCGAACCTCCTCCATACTATCGACAGCCTCATCGAGCGGTGGTCTTGGGCCACAGGTGCTGGTCAACGATTTGGCCGACGATGCCACGCTCATGGATGATGCGAAAAGCGAAACCTCATCCATTGGCGGTTGCTCGACCATAAGCATTGAGTCTTCATCCTGCGATAGCGGCGCCAAGGCAGCGGCCAACTTTCTAAATCGCCTCGTCGTCGACGATGGCACGGTCTCCCCCCTGGCTCAAAAGAGTTTCTACATTAATAAGCAGGGTTTGTCCGGTGCCAAGAAGTACATTGTGAATCATGAGAATTTGGTTTTAGCCGCGGGCTCAAGCACAGAACTTCCAAACAGCAATACCGGTGGTAAAGGAAATGCCACAAAGCTTGGCGGTAGCCTTAAAATTGAACAGAAGCTTTAAGTGTTAGTTGTATCATAAAAGCAAAACAAAAAGGAGAAAAATTACAGCCTAGACATGCGATATATAATTTGTTTAGCTTTAGCTTTTAATCCCAGCTGGGGATGAACAAGCGAGGGAATTCCCGATTGTAAACTGATTTGAAAGTGGTGGGAATTCCAATCCGTGAACATCTCTAGTCCCAGCAAAAGCTTAGTTAGTCTATATATAGTTATCGGCACAGAACCCAGCACTCAGCACTTAGTTCCCACCCAAATGCGTCCCAAGCTTTACACTAAATATGTTAACTTAAGATCCTCAGCTTTGTTTTATGTATCTCTATGTACATAGTTAAGTTGTGTATTCCTGCAAAGCGCGCACATCCATTGCATATCATCATCTGTTAATAATATGTTGCCCGCAATTACCAAAATGTATGACTAGAATTAATCCACAAACACTAAAACCATTACACTTACACATAGTCTAGTTACTATCTATGCTAACAATTATTTCTTAGCTAGTTTTCTATTCGGATATAGCGATAAAGCCCACACCCAAGCGCTTTTTTTTTGCGCTTCGTACAAGCGAGAATAACTAAATTTGTTTTTTCTTTTTGCGTTGAATTTTTTTCTTGTACCGTTTAGCCTATTTATGTAAACTACCATTAGTTGTGAGTAGCCCTTAGATATTTAGAACCAATCCAATTTTGCCAAAAAATGTTTCTTAAATGTATGTATCTATGTACAATGTCTGCATTAAAAAAAAAAAAAAAAAACAATAGAGAAAGATATATATAGAGCGTAAACAGACGCTTCGATATTGGTGTATACTCGTATATGTACACCTTTCAGGCAATTTACATATGTGCCTGTTCAAGAGATGTGTATATAATCGTCTGAAGAGCGTCTTAAGCGGATTTAATTAGTTTAAAGATGTTATTTTAGTAATAAAATAAAGCCTATTACAATTTTTTCAATAGCTTACAAGATGATCGACTCTGTTTTATTGGGAAAAATTAAATAAAAAGTGAGAATTAGTAACAGTTTATATAATGAGAAAAATCGATCCAGACATGTCCGTCTGTCTGGATTTCGAAGTGGACCCTCATTGACTAATTCTGATAATTAAAATATTGCCCCTAAATTTTTATAAAGAAGACAATTACGTTGCAAACTTTGAATAAGCCATGTTGGGAACTATACTTTTGAAAGTTATTTAAGTCGTTTCGGAGTTATATTTAATGGTTCTTTGTACTAGTTCCTTACCATATTCTAACTTCTATTGGGATGATCAGAAAAGCTCACATTGGCTAGTAATATAGTTGTTATAAATACAAAAATTTTCAATATTTAGAAGCCACATTCATTAATTTGAAAGAAATATGAAAAGCGGACAGTTTTGAACAAATAATGTAGCAGGGAAAGTTGATGGAAAGTCAAAGAATATAAACTGTTGTTTAGGAATTGAGGAAAATCTAAATACCAATTTTGTTTCATGTGGGGACAGTATTTTCTGAAACCCAGTTCTACGAGTATTAGAGATGGGATAGGCACAGCAAATCCTGAAGTGCCCCAAAATGATTAAAGAGTAAAGCGATAGACTAACGATATTATAAGTAAAGGACAAAAGGAAGCAGCTCCTACTCTATGATCAGCATGATGCGTCTGTCTGTATGAACCCTTGTATTTATAAAACGGCTAGAGCTACATTGACCATACTTGGTATGTAGATTCTACTAGTCTGTAGGCAGCAGGAGTATTTAAAGTTACTTCCCCTCTTTCAGCTAATTAAATTAATTAGTACTTGTATGTTTAGCCATCATTATGTTGAATAAGAATATATATACTAGTATATATATGTAGTTTATGGAGTCGGAGATACTTACTTGCCAACAAACCCAATATATTTTCTTTATAAATCAATTATAAAAAGAAAAGATTAGCCAATTTCAAAAAGGAAATATTTTGTTTCCATTTGAGAAAAATATATTGAGATTGGGATTTGATATATATGTATATGATTAAATTATAATCTAGTTGACCAAGTCAGAACTATGCAGCTTTATCTGCACTAGAAATCGCTTTTAACGATTACTAATATCGTTTACATACAAGTATGAGACATTTGGATGCGATAGTTCTCAACAAAACTTGCAGAATTCAACACTTTTTCGAGTTATACCGATCTATGGCTTATTAGTGAACATAATAATTTAATCTTTAGTTTTAAAAGTAAAATACTTGTAAAGCAACCACCAACCAGAAGCAACCAATAGTGTTTTAAAGTTGCATCGTAAACCAGATATTTTGGTTAATAATTAAAATATTTACAAAAATGAGAAAGGAATGCTAATCTCAACTAGGTTTGGTTACTCTAGCTCTTATACTTTCTAAGATCCTTGCGTTTATACAGACTATATTTCTATATCAATTCGTCTTGTTATGATGATCAAGAGTATTAAAACTTTGTGGATCCTCCCACACCTTCTTTTGTGTACAAGGTATAAGCTACTGCACCCTTTTACTCTTTGGGTACGGTTTATACAATTTTGTTGATACATTATACTTGTATCTCCTTACGATGTTGAAATCGGATGTATGACTGCACATTACATTTATGCCTATAACTTCCGCTATTTGTTTAAATTATTTATAGTAAGGAAGTCAAAACTAGTCTATGGTTTTGGTATAGAAAGAGGAAAATCCAAAATCTAATTATGAATGAATTTAGAAATATTTAAGTGAATATTTTTATAGTACATACATATGTAGTAAATAATGTTTTTCATTTTTATATAATTATAAATGCGCTGTGCGAGAAGAACCCATTCTGCATAACAGAATCAAGTAGAAGAATAGAAGAAAGCTCAGTTTGAGGGACAATCAAATATAAAACAAAAATTAAATTCTGTTCGGAAAATAAAGACATGTCCTTTCATTTATGCGCTATAGCAAAGTAGTTTGTTTTTTATCCTTAAAACTACAGACTCAGTCAGACCGACTGATTGCCGTTGGCCTTCTTGTTTTACAGAGACACAAACAAGATCATCAGAATATAGTATTGCTGCTCTATATTCGAAAGTTTGCACGGACATCTATAGCTATAGAAGTGGAATTGCAGGAACTCCAATAAAAACAAGTTTAATTAGCTGAAAGAGGGAAAGTAACTTTAAATACTCCTGCTGCCTACAGACTAGTAGAATCTACATACCAAGTATGGTCAATGTAGCTCTAGCCGTTTTATAAATACAGGGGTTCATACAGACAGACGCACCATGCTGATCATAAACTTTATTGACTCGAAGATGCTTCCTTTTGTCTTTTACTTGTAATATCGTTAGCCTATCGCCTTACTCTTTAAATATAATTGGGGAGCACTTCAGGATTTGCTGTGCCTATCCCATCTCTAATACTCGTAGAACTGCCTGCAGCCTTCTATCGCCAAAGATGATGTCAGAGCGCAAAAATTAGCAACAGGCCATGTGCTTTCTACCTGCACTCTATGGTGTGTATACTGATGCAGAAAAAAAGGTCGAACACCTGGCTTGGGTCCCGAGCATTGCTCCCACACTGGCGCAGAGGCTCACACACACTCGTACACACAGCCAGACAAACAGTCAGTCAAGTGGGCGTAACGGCTGCATGTGTGTGTGTGAGTGTAAACAAGTTTTATGGCATCGCTGAAATCTGTTGCACGGTCGCAAATTGCCAAGGCCCGGCTCAGTGGCTGCCAAGCAGACAGCAACTAGGAAAGCAGAGCAGTAATGGGGGAGGGGCTGGGGGGATAGAGACGGAGATCGCTTCGAAATTAACCACCCACGGCAAATGAATACAAATGAGCATTTGACATGCTAAGTACATACATACATATGCATATACTTAGTGTGTATGAATATGCATTTGTGTGCGTGTGAGTCGCGGTCTCCCCTTTTTTTCTACAGTCCAGTCAGTAAATAATTGCCCAACACTGGCCCAGCCTGACAGCGATCGAGACCGAACGCAGCAGCGACGCCGGCAGCGCCAACAGTAAAGCAGCGCATAATAACAACAACAAAAACGACATGGCAAATAATTAAGTCAGTCAGTCGTTAGCGTTGCGCAAAAAAGGAAAAAGAGCAACAAATCGCACGGAGCTCGCGCTCGACGTACTTTTTATAGCTGATTGTTGTTGCTGTCGTCGTTGCGATTGTTGTTGTTGTTGGGGCCGCGTTTCGCTTCGCTTCGGTCGTGCTTTAATGGAGCTTGCCCGCCCTCCCCTCCAACGCCGTGGACGATGACTGACGCCAACGACGACGACGACAACGACAACAACGACGACGCCAAAGTAATCTTGAAAATCGTGAGTCGAGTTCGCTTCGTGGGTTTCTTTTTGTATCTTTGGGCGCGCTGGCATTTCGTGTGCCAGTGTGTGTGTTAGTGTGTGGTGTGTGATGCCCTCTCCTTCTCCTCCTTCTTCTCTTGGCCATTGCCTATTCGCTCCCCTGCGCATTTTCTTTGTTTTTCGTTTTGTTGTTGGAAGTGTGCGCGCGCGCCTGAAGAAAAATCAAGTTAACAACGCCAACGGCAACACACGCAACGTGCAGAGAAATAGTCGACAACCTTACCACACGCGCCCCCGTAGCCACCACCACCATCATCACCACCATCGTCATCATCGCCATCACCATCAACCACAGCCAGCGCCAACGCTTTTTCAATAATAATAAAAAAAAGGCTGCGCAGCACTCTTTTTGTTGTTGTTGTTGTTTCTGATCGCTCGACCGCTTTTGCAGCGGCGGCTTTCGTGCGGTTGCTGAGCTCGAGCTCGAGCTTGCGAATCCAGTTTCTTCTTCACTCGCACGGCAGACGAACAGCAAAACGGCCACGGAAAAAACGGCGAACGGCAAACTGAAATTCATTTGTGTTTTTGGCTCAGTTATCGCAAGTTACGGACGGGCTAAGCATTTTCTGTCGGCCAGGTTAGTATAGGATTATTGTTTTCTACCGCTCTCTGCTTTGGCAATTGAATTCAAGGATAACTGTAACGGGATGTAAGCTTAATTAGGCCTAATAAGCATAGCATATGCACAGGCGCGTCTCACTGAGTTAGCAATCTATATAAACAGTTATTTACTCACTCTCGCGCGCACTCTCTCCCTCCTTTTGCGTCTCTCTTATTATTGACGAACGACTGTGACGTGATCGTGAGCGTGAAATCTGTAAAGTATTGCTAATATGCACATCTGTATGTATATTTGTATATCATATTCTTTGTGCAAATCGCTTATTAATGCAAACGTATCGTATGTTTGTGTGGGCGTGTGTTGTGCTTAGAATGCTGCATTGTTATATTTATATGGCTTAAAAGGGAGCAGAAAAGGATAATCAAACTTAGAATGTGTGCTCTGTAGAATTTGTACACATACTTGTACTTTGGTGGTTAAATACATACTTGTGCATGTATGTATGTAGGTATATGCATCCAATCAGCGTGACGATACGAATCCAGCTAGTGCCATGTCCGTCTGTATGAATATCAAGAACTATTGAATCAAAACAGCTAAGGACAGCAAATTTATCGAACGATTCGCAAATCTTATATAGCTTCATTATTTTATTGGTCAGAAATCATTCATAGTAAACAAATGTAAGTATATGATACCATAGCCTAATGCCACATTGCATACATAGTATTCTGCAGCTTAATACAAATTGGACAGATTATATATACTAGTTCTTTAATCGGTACACTCGAAGGATATAAGGAATCTTTTTCGACCCCTTATATACTTGTATTCTTTATTAATATTGATGATAATGACGAATCAATTGAAGCAGATACATTTATCCCGTTATCTGTTTGTCTGTATGAATGCCTAGATATCGGAAACGGTTTGACCCATAATGACCAAACGTTGTATATAGACTCTCTTAATAAGGATGCATCATTAGTTTATATTTGCCATACCCCTCTCAAGTTTAAACAATTCTTAAGGAATATTTCTCATAATATACATACATACGAATAGTTTGTATTGCAGTACTTATTCTAAACACTAATTATTCATTGATAGCCTCCTTTATTAACACTATACCAAAAAACTGAAGTAAAAATTGGGAAAAATTTGGATTAGGCCACCTTCAAAAATTAACTGAGGGGCTTCTTGCTGATAACAGATAAAGCCCGTAAAACGAAAAAAATTAAACACTATAGCAGAATATATTTAAAGCTTACAACTATTTTAAACATAGCAAATTTTCAATACCTAGCTATTTCTTTATTCTGAAATGCAAACAAATCACATGCAAAGAACTTTTTAATGGAACAAAAATTACAGACGTTTTGGAAAATCACTAACAACGGGGGAGTGGGGGAAGCATTAAAGAAAAAACAAAAACTCGTCCCTTGTCGTATTTAGGAGAATCTGGATACCAAGTTTGGTTGTTCTACATCTTATACTTTCTGAGATCCTGGCGTTCATACAGTCGGACGGACGAATGGACATCATTATCAAGGATATGTATACTTTTAGGGTCTGCCACGCCTTCTTCTGTGTGTTGCATACATCCGCACTTAACTAATATTCCCTTTTATCCTATGGGCCAGGGGTAAAAAATATAGACTAATCTTCTGATTCTAAAGAAAAGCTTCATTTATTTTCAGCATAAATCACAAGCTAATTTTTGAACAGAAAGATTTTGATAGAAATAATTGTGTGACTTACATTATTGCCGCTATTTTCTTTTCAGACCATGGAACTAGCTTTAAGCAAAACTTCTCTGCCAGGTAACGCTAATCATCTGGATCCGTCGTCCTGTGCCGATTGCTGCACCGATTGTGTGGGTTATAGTTCGAGTGCTTGCTGCACAGCCGCCTGTTGCGGTCCCAACACGTGTTGTGATGTGAATTGTGAACTTATGAGATCATCGCCGATTTTGGAAACCAGATATGAGTATCATGAGCCAGAGGATAATTTTGTGTCCATAGATGATGATAAGATTAAAAGTTTATTGCTGAAAATTGGACAGCAGCAACAAGAAGAGGATCGTCTGCGTCAACAGCAACATCAGCAGATTATAGAATTAATAGATGATGACGAGAGAAACGATGGAGATGAGCAATTTGTGGCGGCCTATGAAGATGACGGCAATAACTTGGAACTGCGGCGTGAAGAATCGCCCGTGCTTAGAATAAGCACAGCTCGCAGTTTGCGAATGTCGAATACGATGCCCACAAAGCGTCAATCGCCAGATATTCAGCTTATACCCAGAGTATCTCAACTCACACCCGCTCCCGAGCGTCGCATTGTGGCTGAGATCGAACTGCTAGATAGCGATAGTGAGCAAGAAGACGATCTTGAAGCGAATCAACTGCAGGATGACGGAGAAACGGATGATGATGAAGAGCTGCCGCTAGCGGCAGCGGCTGCTCTCAGCTGTGAGCTACAGTTGCCCGATGGCGAGTCGGAGGATAAGAATGAGGGGCAAGTTATAGTCCTCCACTCCGATGATGAACAGGACATCAGGCCTGCTGTGACAGGAGCTACAATGGTGCAATCAACCCGAAGCTATGTGAAACGACGTGGTCGTCATCTATACGAGTGTCTAGCCTGTGGCAAGAAAGTTCAATCCAACTACAATCTGCGTCGTCACATGATGATACATACAGGTCAGTAAGGTTTCGGGTCGATGAGCCGCCTATTGAAACGACGCTTGTGACAATTTACTGAACTAGAGTAGCAGATAGAAAGAAAAAAAAAAACGAAATAGGCATATGAGATGAAGAATGACAGCGTTGTGAAAAGTCTATTATTTCTCTAAATGAGTTCTATGGGTATAGTAAAAGAATAGAACTGAACGGAAAGACATAAGAATTTATTTTAAACTACGTAGGGTATTGACATAGAGAAAAGGACGCATAGGGATGTTACCAAAATAGAAGATAGTTTTATTTCACCTTCAAGAAGAGACTTTCTTATCAAGAATTAATACCAATACCATAAATTGAAGAGGAATCTGGAGTTAGAAATTCTTCGAGTTACAACAAAGTTATATTTTGCAGAAGACAACACTTTTATGGAGCATCAATAAATGTTTAATTATAAAGGATGATGATCGGATGATATAAACAAGTACTTTCTTCTTTCGAATGAAAGATAAATGGCTAGAACTGTCAAATAAATTGAGTCTAGTTCGCATTGGACTTTTGTGTAAGATTATTAGAGAAGCAAGCAGGCTATCCAGGAAATTTTTTAAACCTCTTCCTAGCTCACGATTTTTTAATAAACATATTTAATATAGAACATAGTATTTCAACTGAAGCTCTTTCTTCATATTTTTTGCTTATAATAATTACATATTTTTGATCCAATTCCGTAAGCCAGAACATCAGGAATTCTTACCATTATATTAACCGATGATTTGCTTTCCTTGAAACTTGGATTAAGGGAGTCCTTAAAATTAGTGTCATCATTTAATGAAGGCCAGATTTGTAATCGATACTTTAAATGCTGAAATAAATGTTAGCTAGACTAAGAACGATTTCTGGACAACATCTTAGCTGCTACATGAGCAATCGCGAATCGGTTTATTCGCATTTATACATAGGTGGGGTTAAAAGTGTCAGCAATTGTCTTAATCAAAAATTGAATTGCTTTTCCAGGTGAACGCCCTTTTGCTTGTGACTTGTGCGAGCGACGATTCCGTGAGTTCAGCGACCTGAAGAAGCATCGAAGACGACACGCCAATGAGCCGCATTTCTTATGCATGATATGTCGCGTGCAGACGCCCACGGAACAGGATTCTACACGATGTGCGCAGTGCGAGGGCAAAAATTTGTTACTCAAACCGCAAGTCAATGTTCCAGGCAGCAGTGGCAGCAGCGATCATGTGGGCGAGGCGGGGGCGGAGGAGTACGAAGATGATCGTGATGATGAAGTCACAGTTGTTGCAGCAACGCCCACGCCCGTAACTCGACAACCAGCAGCAGCAGCAGCCTCGCCAGTACCAGTAATCACAATCACGGCTCTGCCAGCGCCGACGGAGCAACCACCGACCTTGCTTGCAATTCCCACTTTGTTGCCTCTGCCACCGCGCAGCTGCAGCAGCAACTCCTCGTCGGCCAGCAATGAGGCACTGCCGCCCCCTTTGTCGTCGGCTGCTTCGCAACGTCCACGCCAACGCAGTCGCAAGGCCTATCCTTGTCCACTCTGTCAGCGTCCCTTCGGCACGCGCCACAATCTGAAGCGTCACTTCATGATACACACCGGCGAGAAGCCCTTCAGCTGTAACAAGTGCCGCAAACCCTTCCGGGAATGCTCCACTTTAAAGAAGCATATGGTGACGCATGTGCGAGAGCGTTGGTATAAGTGCCTGCGATGTCCGCAAAAGTTTCAGGACTATCTGGACTATACGGCGCACAAAAGCACGCATTTGTCCGAACAGATGGCGACCAGCGTACATAAGGAACTGTTAGATAGTGGAGAGGACTCGTTCGATGGCTGTGATATGGACTCCGTGGAGACCTGGCTCGAGTGCTGCGAATGCAATCGTCGCTTCACAGAACTGGACTCCTATACGGATCACTTGAAGCAACACAATAAGGAGTTGTACGGCATGACTATGGATGACGATGAGGAGGATCAGGATGTAGATGTGGCGTAAAAGCAAACATTTTACTTATTAAACTGTACATAAGAGTCTATGATATTTGGGTAGATACCCTAAGCATATTTGAAATTAGGGTTACGCCTAATATATAAAGATATTATATACTTATTATATAAACATAGCTTGTAAGTAAATCTTAATATCAACGTGATAGTTTCAAGCTGTGCGGACTAACCAAGCAAAGGATAGAATTTGTTTTGGCAACCGCAGGACCGGTTTAAAATACAATTCTGCAACTATTCCAAAATTAACTATAACCTAAGTGAGAAGACTTCTAGCTTTTATACCGAGTTTTTCATTTTTCAATGCTACTTAAGTTTTAAAGAACGTTTACAAACTATTTGAAAATCAACTCAAGAGATCAGAAGATGAGCCATTTATTATCTAAACTATAACTTAACTTTAAAATTATTCCATGCCTTCTTTTAGAGCATGTTTACAAAAATCTGAACCAAACAAATCATTCCACAGAATTTAATAGCTAAGACTTTAGCCTTTAAATAACATATTTATCATCTGAACTATAACCAATATCTTTCATATTGTTTTTTTTTTTTGCAACATTGTATACTATTAGATATATATTATTAAGAACATTTATACAAACCTAAAGGAGAGACTTTTAGCTACTTAAAAGCCATCATCTCAAGTTAATCGCATTATTCCATTCAACATTGTTTATCATTTTATAAATATATTTTAAAGAACATTTGAACAGCACAAGTTTGTGATTGAAATATACAAGAGCATCATTATTATAAAAACGTACAGACTTTTAGGTTTACAAATAAATTAGCTAAGCGTTCGAAGTAAAAATTAACTAAACAATAAATATAGGAGCAAGCATAGGCGAAATGGCTAGGAGCCTTCCCTTCATCATATTTGAATTCCACAAATCTGCTTACAGATCCAACAGGACGGGCTTTGTTTCTTTGGCACATTTGAATACCGAACGCATCATTTTCAGGAATCCAGTATCCTTGGGCTTTTCCAGGCCGCGCTGCACACGATTCTTCATAACCGATATAAATTCCTTGTTGCTCAACTGATTGTCGTCTGTAAAAGCAAGATATTTTAGTAGTTGGAAATAGTTAGGAGCTCGAAGTTGAACGCACTGTTCTCATCGAATATGGTGAAGACCACATCTACCACATGGTCCGAGAGGTTTACCATCGCCACTGTCTTGGCGACATGCTGCAACGTCTGCTGATCGATGGACGCGCCGGCAATGTGGTAGAAAGTCAGAGCGGTGTCCACATCGTTTATGTTGTTCAGAAAGTGGAAGAAGTCCAGATAGTCCTGTTTGGAAATGCCGATGCCATGATCGCGGAAACGGCGCTTCACGCGCTTCAACTTCTTTTGCTTCTTCTTGAGGGGATAGCCGGCATAGGCCAGCAGCAGTTCGGCGAAATCGGCCTCAGTTATATTGCCATCCTCATTGGGTTCCTTGCGCTCGAACTCTAGAGACAGAATCTCCTTTTGCAGTTGCTCCTGGAAGTCTAGGAACTTTTCAATTGTCAGTTTCTCATCCATATTGGGTCCAAAGAAATATGTGATCAATGCCGAGTTCACGCCCTGCGAATGGTGATATTTTCAAATTAAACCAACTACAAAGAAACTCTCGAGGCGTAACAGAAAATATTGGATGTGAAAGCGGGTGCGGACACTACGGGTGCGAACTGAAACTTTACGCTTCGTGGCGTGCGAAATGGGTGCGTTCATCGAGTTAAGAGTGTAAATAAATAGAAAAGGTAGATATGAATATATATTTTACAAAAAGTGTTACGTTGCAAAAGAAATGTTAAGCATTTGGTATTTTTTTCGTTATTAGAAGTACCTTCAAGGACTGTAAGTAGTCATAAAAAAAGAAAGTTAGGTTGATTGTTAATGTTTTATTATTTATATTTTATGTACACAGTGATGCACGAGTACACGCGATCAAAAGGAAAAAGCAAAAGACATAGAAAATACAATACAAAGGTTCCTTTAGTACGGCACAATAGCACTCTGCGTATGAGGAACTCTCTTCAAATACGGAACATTCTACAAGGAGTAGGCGTAGAGAGCCTGGACTTACCTTAAACGTATTGCCAGTATTGGCGTGATCCCGATGGCGTGTTCCCATGCTCGTCTGCTGGCGCACCAGTGTTGCTACCATTTCAAATTCCTCGCAATCGACGTCGCCATCACCGTTCAGGTCGAACATGCGGAAGGCGATCTCGAAGTGCCGACGCGAAACTGCAAAATACAATAAGAAATATGTAAAATATGGAATGAGTGATTGGGATCCAATTAGGTAGAAATCGCTTTTTAACTATCTTCTATCTATACTTTAAGTGGACGTCTTAACTCAAATCTTAACAATTGTTAGGGAAAACTTCAAACTCAATTGAAGAAATGCCTAAGTTGCAATATTATTTCGATTTTATTAAGACTTCTGTGACAAATTAAAGCCTGTCTTCTCAACAACTTACTTGACAAAACGGTCAGCAGAAAGATGTAGTCAGAGAAGGTGATGAGTCCATAGGAGCCAAGCTTGTAGAAAATGCTGTTCTTCTGCAGTTGCAAGTTCAGCTGCTCGCCCACCGACTGCAATTAAAAAAGCATATTAATATTCTTCTATTCTATTTTAAATGCATAAACAGTTGATGCATACCTTAGGATCGTAGCGACGATATTGGTCCAAGCCCAGACCTGTAAATATTCGCCAATATCAGGGATTATTTCTCATAAATTGGCATGCAATTAGGGCTGGATTAGTAAAGCTATGGATTGCTACTAATGGGACCACATACCATCTGGTTGTTTCATGCCGGGCGTCATGCTAGTCAAGAAATCAGTGGGAGTCATGTAGACCTCATGTCGATCATCGGCCACCGGTACTTGTATGGTGGCGAAATAGCGAAATACTTTATCGGGCGTTGAAAACTGGCGTATGCGGTTCTCATATTCAATGATCTAAGCGAATGTTAGACAAGTTACTCGAGCGTAAATACTGTGCGATGTTTAGGCAAAAATAAAGCACAGAATGAAATTGAAAATAGGCGGGAATATACATTAAAAAAAAACTATGACGCCAATAACAAAATAAAGAGGGAACTTGAAAATGACTGAGGCACGCGACCGGCAACATTTGTAGGTTAGTAAACGCTAGCTTTAAGACTAGTTTTAGCAGTAATATAGTACTATATAGGACGCCTGTTCATTACCGTCTGGCTGCTTAATGCCTGGATAAATGGAGCGTAGAAAGTCCTCGGGTGTCATGCAAACAATTGTTTGTGTGGCATCCTGCAGGCGCACCGTGGCAAAGTAACGAAATATTTTGTCGGGTGTCGAGAACTGCCGTATGCGATTTTCATACTCAATGATCTTGAGGAGCAACAGAAAAACGTATAATTGAAGGATTTAGGAGTGTGTGTTTGGTGTGTGTTGAATGTTTTGAATGCCAACAGAAAACGTTTTACGCCAACATAGAAGAAATGAAAAGTTGAGAAACGTAATTATACCATTTTTAAGAAAGAATTTAAAAGTCATTGCTGGCCACAACGTGATCGCTGGAACTAGGCATACCTTACGCTCCCGGAACCCCACTTTTTCCCTGAGCTTTTTGCCGTCGCGTACATTGAGCTCCGCATTGGAATCATCGTCGTCATTATCGCTGTCACTATCGGAGTCCTCCCCGTTGACGCCGGCCGCATTGGACGGACGCTGACCCGCATCGGCATCCACTTTGGGAATTAGCAAGCGTTTTACTCTAAAAATAGCAACATTACAGCTCTGACTGTCGTTTTAGCATTGCTTTTAACACTCACTTGCCCCAGTCCAGAACGCTGATGATGAAGATGCCCAACACCATAAAGTGAAAGTATTTGGTTACACGGGGTGTCTTCTCCTCGCCATGTCCAAAATTCTTATGGCCTCGCGTCTGCTGCAGCCCTAATGTATTTGTTGTTGTTGCAATTATATTTGTTTTTGCAGCACCAACATTTGTCAAAGTTGCAATTTGCGCGTGTTTCTGCAGCAAATTTATGGCCGGACGCCTTGTCAGTGCTGCCAGCGCCTGTCGCGTAACTAGGAAACGCAGCGCGGACATCTTTTTGCGTCGTTAATCAATTTATTGCCAATTCTTTACGTCTGGTTAATTACACAGGTGTGTTCAATTTTCTTGCCATTCACAAATCAGCTGTGCGTTAGCTTGCGTTCTGTAGCAGTGAGCTTTCGCTTAGCAGCACAGTGCTGCCTATACGCGTTAATATTAAGTGGTGCCCAGTTTGTGAAAAAACGAATTATTGCGCGGTACAATTGTCGTACGTGGAGTGATTAATAAATAAATAAAATGTGTTCGCGCGGTTTTAGTTATTGCTTTAAGTGGCTAACTGTATTACGCGGTGTTTCTTTGTAATGGCTACGTGCTACGCTGCTATTTGTAGTATATGTATGTGGTTTATGCGATAGCCGGTAAATGTCACCTCAATTGTGTGCCGGCGCGCAAACGCACGCACAAACAGTTGGATAAATGGCCAACAGCCACTTAACTGGCCGTTGGTTGCATTCAGGTAAGGAGGCGGGGGCGTCTTACAAATTGAAATGCTGATGGCATGCCATGCACCCACAATTTGCTTTGCCGCTCCCACTTAGTCGTTGTGGCAAGTGAGATGTTGTTGTTGTTGTTATAATGGTTTGATTAATGTAACGAACGCCCCATTTTGCACGTTGATGTATTTATTGGCCACTCTTGTGTGGTGTTTATTTATTGCGTGATAGACGATGCGATTGCCACTAATAATTATGTTGTTGCCTGCTGTTGACAACTACTGGGAAGGAAGCACCTGTCTTGGCAACATGTTGCTCTAACCGTCATAGCAATTATGTTGCTGCAATATATATTTGGCCAAATTAATCAATTGTGGTGTTTTTTTTTTCAAAACCATTATAACTGTATTGCTAATGACTGTTTCCATTGACCTTAAGCTGTCACACTTGAAATTCTGATTTATGCGTGAGGCGCATTTTCCGGCGCTTAATTAAAAGCCAGATTGTATTGTTGAAAAAATTGTTATGTACAAGTATACGTGGATTTGTGTTAGCGCTGGACCTCAAAATGTTGCCACAACAAGCGATTAGCATTGTGCAAATTAATTTCTCATTAGCAACAATACCGAATAATTGAAATGCATACGCATTGGCATACATAATGATACTTGAAACTGGCCAGCTGGATCATTATTTCTGCGTATGTGTGTGGATGTGTGTGCTGTGGTTGCCGCGTTCTGTGGTCCCTGTGGCTTGCGCTTGGGTTGTTGACTTGACTTAGTTGCTATCGATGTTGTTAGTATGCATTGTTGTTGCTGCTGCGTCTACTGCTGCTGCTGCTGTGGATGCTGCTCGTTGACAGGTTTGCTGCGGAAATTGTTTGCCTTTTTAACTGGCACGCTGGGCATGTAACGTGGCGTCGTTGCCTCGTTTGTTGTCCATTTTTATCAGTTGTCGCCCAAGTTTATATACATATCTCTGTATATATGGTGTCACTGTATGTGTGTCTGCCTGCCTGCGTGCGTGCTTGCTTGCCCACTGGGCCTTGTAAATCTATGCAATTAATGTCACTTCCTCCATAACGCAATGCCATTTAATGTCTATGTTTAGTGGCTGCTATGGCGCCAATGCATAATTTAAAGCATCGCGAGCCACAGCGACTACAAAATAAAGCAGGTGAGCGACCTGAACCTTCTTGGGATCACTTATAGGACGAACTTGATGGCAATTCTGCTAAATAATAGAAGTAAAAGCTAATGCTTTGGCACTTCTGTAAAAATTTTATAGTAGAACATTAAAAAGTCCACCAATTATAGTCCAACAACTTACATAAACTGTATTATTCCAATTTTCTTGCCGATTATAGTGAGAAATTTGTAAAAGTGAAAAAAACTAAACTTATTTGCATCATTCCTATGGCAGCTATGTACATATAGACAAATTATTCGACACGAGTTGTGGCTTTGATATTAGGCAACCATTGCTTACAACCTCCTTTATGTGACGCTGTTATTATATAACTATTTAATTTACTAGTTAATGGTTGAGAAAACTAATCGTAATTAAATATTTTTCGAAACAATTTATGTAGGTAACCCATATTGCTGCTGCTTCAAGGGAAAACTATTGCGAATCCTTAAAGCAGGCAACACTAGTTAAGACAAATAGCTCGTTAACTCTTTAAGAAGACTCTGGTTCGATGATTTTTTTTTAAATTCATACAGTTGATTACTTGGTTTAAGCCTTTAAACGCTTTAACCATTAACCAGCTAGAATTTCTCGCTCAAGTATCCAATATTGATCCTTTGGGGGATTAACTTCCCCAAAATTGTCTCGTATTATATTTACTTGTGGATTAAGAAGCTTCCACTCTAGCTATCTGATATTTAAAAAAAAAAAAAAACCAAGTGTGTAAACACATCACAATGCAGGTAGTTTTAATTCAAATGATTTTATTAGGGTACTTGTTAAAATGTATACCCCTCTGACATCAAATTATTGTCATATCCGTCAGTACCTCCGTATTGGAAATACACTCACGTTTATCCATTTAGTTGGTAGCTTACACGGCCGTAAAACATGTGGAAAACGGCAAATAGCTGTAGAATGCGAGAAATCTTTGTTAGAAGGCTGCGCCATTTCATTTCATTCATTTTAGTTCACTTACGATACAACGGCCAACTCAATGCAGTGCTGATCAGCGCAAATAGCAGGCAGATAACTCCAATGGATTTCATAGTAGTTTTGAAAAGTATCGATGGACGTTTTACCTAAACTGTGGATAGGTCGTAGGCTCTTTTCTTATTTATATTTATTTGCTCAACATTCATTCGTCAAGCAAATTATTATATAAGCTGTGGAATATGCCGATAAGTGGTTCTAACCAAATATACTTATAAATACTATACAATTGGGTAACAAATATGTTAGTATATAATTACGTTACGTATATAATTACGTAACAAATAGGTTATACTCGTATATAATTTCGCTCTTCTTATTATTGCTTCTGCTATGGGTGCATATAACTCACTGCCGGAAGAATCTAGTTCGGTGAAATTTGTTTAAAATTAATACAAATGATTAACCACTTCAATCATTAACCAGCTAGAATTTCTCGCTCAAGTATCCAATATTGACCATTTGATGGGTAAGAGTAGTGTGTTCTCCTAAATTTGTTTTTAATTATATTTACTTTTGGATTGAGAGGCTTCCACTGAAGCTATCTTGTTTAAATAAAATAGTTGTAAACTTTTGGATTGAGAAGCTTCCACTGAAGCTATCTTGTTTAAATAAAAAAGTTATAAGCCCATCAGAATGCAAGTAGTTTTTATTCAAATGGTTTTATTCGGGTCTACCCCTGGGATTCACATATCGATTTACAATTTTCCTCAGTGATAAAATTATTGTCATTTCCATCACAACCTCCGTAGTAGAAACGAACGCACCTACGGTTATTGTAGGTCCATCTTTCTATTCTTGCATTACAAGGACCTACCACAGCCGGTGGCAAAAGGCAAATAGCTGTAGAATGTGGAAGTCCTTGTTAGAATTGTTTGCCATTTCATTTTAAGTTCACTTACGCTCTTCTAAGTTCCATGCCAATGCAGCGCCGAACAGCGCAAATAGCAGGCAGATAACTCCAATGGATTTCATAGTAGTTTTGAAAAGTATCGATGGACGTTTTATCTAAACTGTGGATAGGTCGTAGGCTCTTTTCTTATTTATATTTATTTTGCTCAACATTCATTCGTCAAGCTAAATTTGTATTGCCGTCATATAAGCTGTAGAATGTACCGATAAGTGGCTTTAACTAAATATATTAGTGCTATACAATTGGTTTGGTTTGTTACATAAAAACTCTCATATTGCTGGCCTCAGTAAAAATTACAAAAAAAAAAAACAAGTATGCAGTTTTTCTGTTATTTTTTTCTGAGAATCTTAAAAGTCAGAAAGTCGATCCGTTGAAAAGTGGGTATTTTTTATACAACCTTTGGAGCCTGTTTTATAGTTCTTACCGTTTGGTCAGTCAGGATAAACTATTTTATATACATAAATACATATATAGAAGTACATAGATACTCGTATAGAAATAGATTAAAAGTGTAAAACGAGTGTTCGTCTGTATTTTGAAAAGTACGTCATATAGGAGGATAAAACTAGAGGTTGTTCCATGCACTTCTTTAATTCTTTGTATTTCGCTCTTATTCGATCCGCTTAAACTAACTATACTTAGTATATATGTAAGTATTCAAAAGGTAGACTGTTCGCATCGATTTTAGAAATGGTAAGATCTAAAATCAAATCAAAAATCAATCAAAATCAAGCGAATTAAGGGACACATAATTTTATTTGTACACGAATTTGATTTATCATGATTTATTTGAAAATTGAAAATGTTATACAAGTATATGGTTGCACGACTTTATTTCATTTATTTCAAAATAACATATGAGCAATGTCTTTTTTATAGGGTTCTATTACACGACTTTTTCTGGAACCAATTGACCGTGTAGAAACATAATTAGGTGTATTTTTATATAGATTGTTGAAACCGTACATTACAACTTTGTACGCTTGTTAGTCTTTTAATTTCTATTTACACACTTTTTACTATTCATCGCGAATCCCCAGATATACTATAGAGTTTTGAACTGTTTTTCATTGCCACCTTAAGTTTTCTTTCATCGTTTTTCGCACTAAATGCTAAATGGTCTGTTCATTGGCGCTCATTGGCGTTAGTTGGCGCTCAACCCGGCATTCGTTAATGGCTCTCTATGTAGGCTGTGGGCCGTGTTGTTTGCTATTTTGGGTCTAATGTGCGAAGCCTCACGTGTTCGCTCCTCCCTTTTGGTTGCACTTTTCAGCACTCTCGATCGCAAGGCGAGTGTTATTAATTTTTATTGCCTGGACTTGGAGGCGGCTGCCATTCCGGCGGCTGGATTTCCTGCCTCATTTGCGTTTTAAATGACCCATTTTCAAGGCGACTGGCGATGCCTTTGTGAATTTTCTGCTTAAAGTGCGTGTTAAATGCTGCCCAATAATGCCTAACAACGCGCATTTGTTATACACATACTAAGTATGTATGTACGTGTATACATACATACATACGTATGGAAATGCACAGTGCTGGCAATTAGTTTATGCCTCTGCACATTTCTAGATTGGTCCTTGAACTTTGTCAAATGCTCAAATGCACGGCAAAATAACGGTACTTTGCAACACAGCCAGTCAGGCACTCAGGCAGGCAGTCAGTCAGGCAGTCAGTCAGTCAGGCAAATAAGCAAGGAAGGAAGCTGGCAAGCATTAGAATTTCGGTTTTCTCAGCAAATTCAGCCTGGCAGTCGACAGCGTACCCGTACAAGGGCATCATTCAGCAAAAACATACACGTAAAAAAAATTTTGAGCTCTTTTACGTGTAACAACAAAATTGTTTGCAATTGAAAAGCAAAACTTGAATTGAAAATTAAGAGTTCTAAACGCAAAATAAACCAATTTAACAATGTATTAATTAATAAATCAAGTAATTTTTGTTGCTTAAATCTTTAATCTTTATTTAAGATCTGCCCTAGGTTGAAAAATTATGAAATTTTATGACAACTTAGACAATTTATAATCGGCCTACTCAAGAAATGAACTCCCATTGTAAGATTCCGGTCAGCTCGTTGAGCTTTGCCAGGCCCCAATGAAGCTAGTGGCATCCTTAAATATTGTAGTTGTCGAGCTAAAGCATTTGAAGGGTAGATGGAATACGGACCTCAGTGATCCAATATTGGAAAATACAAATAAAATGTCTTTAAGATGTCAACTGCTGGTGGTTGTCATTGGACCTAACAGCTCTAGAAAGTGGTCTTTTTAAAAAAAGAATGTACATTATTTCAATAAAATTAATAATATTTCGTGAAGAGCAATATTTGACCAAAGAGGTTGCTAGTTCTTCTAGCAAGACTTTGCAATTTCTTTTCCCAAGGCATACATTAAATTGTGTCTTATCTTGTATAAGCACGCCTCTGACTCCTAGACAAGAAGTTAGTGGGTTTTGAAGAGTCATAATTCTATCTAGAGATGATGGCCTTACCCAGTACTTGGGCTTTCTTGCTAACATAACGATTACGAAATTAGATACATATATAGAAAATGATTTTAAGGTTTTTCAAAATATTCTGTCTTTCTGAGCAATATTAGCAGAATCGATATTAACAGAATCGATATTAACAGAATCGATAGTAACAGAATCGGGTTTAGCAGAATATATCTATTTTTAGTTGTTGCGATTTTTACTAAAATAAAATCGATAATCGTTAACAAAACACACACAAAATTAAAATTGTTTGTCATTTTCATCATATATTGCTTCTATAATTTATTTTATTTAGCACATTTCCAGCTGTTTTTTATAGTGGAAAGAAATATCTCTAAAATAAAAGGCTTCAAGAAGACAGAACCGCTTAACTTTTCAGACAGCAGTACATTCAATTGGATATATTCAGGTTTTCTGAACTTCTCAGCGGACGGAATCGAGCGAGATTTTGCACACTTTCATTTCTTAGATGTGTGTTTAAAATATACTAATAATATAGTTATTATTATTCTTATATATTAATTAGGTTTATAGTAGAAATTAAGTTTTTTGACTTGTGGTTTGCTGATGAATACAAAAATTTCAGTCTGGCAGGAATTGTAATGGTCAGGTAATGTCGGTTGTCACTTCAAGGAGGTGAGTTAGGGTTTTTTTATGTTAGCTGCAATTTCTGGAAATAATAAACTTCATTTTAAAAAAATTATGTGCTTTTTCAGGTATAAATTTTTCTCTGAACTGTCGATTCTAACAAAAGTCGATTAAATCGATTTCGAATCGATTCTCTTTACAGCTTTATTCTCCAGTGCTCACAATGCAATCTGAAAAGTGCTACCCACTTCAGAATGGGCATTAATGTTCCCAATAAGCACTTTCAGCAAACCCTGCTTTACATTGTGTGGCAGTTGTCTGGCAATAGGGAATCTGTCTCAGTGTAGCTTAGTTTGCCACAAACACATACAGTTATGTGTACAGCTGCCGCTTTTGTGTGGCTCACATTTTGGGTGATTGTGAGATGCGAAATTCTGTTCTCATTCCCCCGGCACTTCGACATGGGGTCGTTGGGCGTTCTCGGGCATCGAATGCAATAACAAAGTGCAGTTGGTGCCCAAAAGTTGGTTTCGTCTTTGACTGGAAATGCCTTTTGCAAACAACACGCACACATACACGCACACACACAGACACAAACACATACTCACTTGTACACTCGTATTGCTTTTAATTAATCAAGAGGGTATCCACTTTGGCCTTTGGAGAACTCCGGCCAATATGCCAATTGAGAGTCAAAGTCGCTTTTCACTTTTCCATTTTCAGCTCTCCATCTCTCTCTATCTCTCTGTCGCACCTACTTGTAGACTCTGCATGTTGATTTATCCTTTCAACTGTCTTTTCATTTTGTCTTTCCAAAAACGAGCATGTGTGCCTTTCCCAAAGTTCGGCTGAAAAATCTGCAGCACTTCTCACGTCTATCGTCCATTTGTTCGATAATTCTAGTAACTGTCTGCTCTTTGTTTTGCTTCGTTGTGAAGCTTAAATTATTAGATTGATTTCATTGCAGTTTATTTTTCGGTTTTGTTGTTTGGTTTCTGACATGCATTGTTGTTCAAATTTGAGTTCGTTTATGCCGGATTAGGGCGAGTTGAATGGCTGTGAGAGCTAAAAATGGGTGTATTATGAAAAGGATCTGTAGTCCGGCGTTTGTGTCTTTCTGTTGAATGAATAGTAAAATAAATATCATATTTTAAAAAGATTTATGTCAATAGTTGGAACTTTTTAAAGAGTAGTACTCAAAAGATCTTATACCAAAGAATTAGGTAAATTCCAGTTTATGAACAATTCCGAACGGTTAGGTTGGACCGGTTACTATGTTTTGTTTTGTTTGTTGCACCCTGTATGTTACCAGTGTTGGACAGAGAGGAAGTGTTTCATGTTCTTACATGTTCTGCATCTGTCTTTTGTTGTAACGGCCAGTTTCCAGATATGGATTATAAAAAGGCCTGAACTTTATTATTATACTTTACCGACCTATTTCTTATGCAATTAAATTCCCTCTACAAATAGTTATACTTCACATACTTTATAAGTATTATTTTCCTTGTTTTTGTAAATATGTACATATGTAAATGAAACACCTTTGTTGAGGAGGGCCCTTTGCTTTTGTAAGGGGTACTTAAAAGCCACTCGGCATACAATTTCAATGCACACATATAAATTACGGAAATTTGCCAAAGAAAAACGCACTTAACCAGCACTTCTCGGCTCCAACCACTTACAGAATCGTTAAAAATTAAACACACTGTCCAACAAAAAGTCGCTTAAAATGTTGGCCACGCCCATCCATAACCAGCTGCAAGCCCAAATACATACGAACTTTGGCAGGACAGAGTGTGCGTGTTTTAATTTTTATTTACATGACGAAAAAAAAAAATGGAAAAATCCGGGAAGCCGGCTCGGAAAGTTTTAGAGTGAAGGAGCGGGAGAGGTGCGGCAGAAAAGTGTGTGTGTGCGGGCAATAAAAAAGCAAAGCAGTGCCGAGCACGCGACAAGATGAGCAAGTCAGACAGACATGCAGACAGACAAATGGCTTGAGAGCAGGAGGACGAGGGCAAGGATGCATGCCGC